CCCCAAAACCCCAAAACCCCAAAACCCCGAGGAATAATTGTTGGGTAATTTTGTTCGAAAAATATTGAATTTAAGACAGGAAACAAAAATATAATTAAAATTGACCAATCTTCATCTGCTTCTGCAATAAAATGCTTAAACTTTGCAGAACTAACTGTCTACCTTTAGGAATAAATTAGGGTAATCAATTTGATCCTTCTCTAAGGTTCTGTAGGCTAGTTTTAAAAATTCCCATATAATATCTTTCAAGATTGTCATTTTTCCCTCACTATTAGTATTTGGTTTCCATTGTTTTTTATTGAGAAATTATTTGCCATAAAACTGAATAAACTGTATGAATAAGTAGGAAAGGAAAGTATTCTTAAAAAATTTTTCCTTAACTGATTTATTGTAGCGATAGCATGGATCGCCAATCAATGGTTCGTAAGTTTAAAGCTTCTTACCTCGAGATCTAGGAGGTGGAAAGTAGTCAGGGATTTCAATACTCGCCAATTACTGAGCACTTGGGTTACCGTTTCCCACCTAAATATACTAATCAACTGTTTATCCAGTTTCAAGAAGTTATTTAAGTATCTTCTTTTTCTAATGATCAACACTCTAAGTTTGTTTACATTTGTTCATATAATCCTGAATCTAAATCAACTCATCGTTTTGTAAGCCACCTAAGATTTCCTTGATAAATCTACAATTTTCTATCCCGTCGAACTCTTTCTTTGCATAAAATTTTTTAAATCCTCTTAAAATTGACCTTCTCTCAGGTACATTTGGCTCCTTACTCATTTCATCAACATTACCCTTAAACGGTCTGCCGACTTTTCTTTTATAATCATCATTATTGAAATTATGTACAGATTTTATATTTTCCAGATTTAGTTATTTTTAAATTTTATATTCTTATTACTCAAATCGATTCTAGAAATCATCGTCATTTTACTCATCAATTTCATTTTAATCCTTAATATCGTCAGTCTCATTGGTACTAACTTTTTCCTCCTCTAAATTTGATGCCTAAATCTTCTGCCTCTTTATCTCTTTAATGTCCGAATAATGGTTGATTCTTTAAAATGCAGAATTATTTGAATTTAATTTGCTTTTAGAAAATTTGGACATTCCCTGTAAGTTCGCAATACTTGCTTCTTAGGTAATAAAGTGCTCATTTCATTTTGTTAGTAAAAAGGCATTTATTGGAAGTATTTTATTGATTTCTTCTTTTGCTAATGGTTAAGGTACTTTTGGTTTTATCTTGACGAAGTAGCTATTTGGATCAATGAGTCCTTTAAAGAGGTCCTTATCGAGATTTAAGTGGCATAGCTAAACTTATTGTTTTTCTTTATTATCCAAATTTTGCTCTATAATTATTCCACTAACTTTCAAATCTTTAATCTTAATCTATTCCAACATTAATTTTACACTTATTCCATAAAAACATATCCTATCAAAATTTTTCCTGATAATTTCGTTTTCTTAATCAATCATTGTATCATATCCAAACCAAGATTTTTAAATTGAAACCTTTATTATCTTTTAAATCTATTGATATTCAACCTTGAAATCATATTAGTTATAAGCCTTTTTTTCTTAATCACTTTAACCATCATCAATTATATAGAGTCCCTCTGCTTTAGATACTTGCTCAGTGCTATTTAATTGTTCAAAAGCCACTAAAATATCAACTCTCATTTTATTTTTTAGATCTACAGTATTAAGAACTCTATCCTCTCTATTTGATGCCTTAGAATTTTTCTCTGAGACATTTTAGAAAGTTACAATATGCCCTCCTCTTATAAATAATGGAATTTCATTGATTTTTTCAATTTTAACTTGATATGTTTGAGATTTTACAGGAATCAAGGATCCATCATAGAAATCATAGAAAGTAGCATTTGGAAAGTAAACATTTTAATTGAAATTCTAATTGTTGAATGAATTTCCTTGCTGCATTACAGGACTAAATAGTAATGCTGAGCCTATCATAGCCTAACTATTATCAATTTTGAACAAATCTGTCTCATCACTAGGCTTCTCATCATTGAATTCAACTAGAATGGGTCTAGTTAAAGGCAGATATTCCTACGAGCCTTTTAAAACTGTACTATAAATATAAGTTAGAAGTGAATATCTCTGCTCAATTGCATGTTTAATTAATGATGTAGCTAGAATAGAGATAGTGTAGGGTTCCTATGATTGTGATTTAGAATAATGATTTCTAAAAATAGGCGCTATTAAAGCAGACATTTAATGCCATCTTATACAGAGATCATCCTCAATCATAGTGTTTCCATATGTACCACAAACAGATGCTCCTGAAATGAATGAACCGACTAGTTAATTTCTAACACTTACGACAAAGGCGTATTTTAAATCAGCCCACCCAGAACCACCTATTTAGTGATATTTGGCAGCATATTAATTCATTCCAAAGGTAAAAGCAGATGCCAGCAAGAATGGCCGTTATACACCTTAAATTTGATGAATCACTTCATAGGTATTTTTTGCCTGCAGGAGTCTATATATTCTTTGAGTGTCTATTGATTTGTATTGCTAATGGTATGGACTAGTTGAGCCATTGATGTTAGAAGATCTCTCCACTGTAAAGAAAGAATCAAACGGTAAATATCCACTTTAAATGTCTTAACCTCCAGGAGTGAAAATGTATTTTTTCCTTGGTAAAACTAGATTGCCTTCATTGAATGTTAAGATTTGCCTGTGCTATATTTGATTTTTATCAAGCCAGATGCAATCCAAGTTTAATTTAGCCATAATGTCTCTAATTTCCTATTTCCATTTTTACTTAGTGAAGTCATTAAAGAAATTAGGAATAGCTCCTGTTATTTTATCAGTGAATTGAGCAAATAAAATTTGATTTTATCCTTCGTAGTTAAATTGCAAGTAGTATCTTGAATTATCAGTTGCTTAGTAGGATAATCCTGGAGTGATGGTCAAGCCATACTTGATATCTTTCTGATGTAGATTTCTTATTTGATCTCTGAATAGTATCTCATTAAATTAGTCACTATCAATTTAGAAAGGCTGAGATCTCAAATAGTCAAGGTAGTTCCAGAATATGTCTATAGGAATAGCGTTCAATAAAAAGCTATCTGATATTTTATGAATATCTTGAATTCTGTAGTTATCTTTACTCTACTAATAACCAAGAGCATAGTAGGGAGGAATAATAGACTATCCAAGTGTTTGATAATGCTACTAGATAACATTTTTCAATTAAGGACCAGCATAGATTAACATATTGAATATGCCATTGCCAAGTATTCTAAATATCAGTCTGTGTTTACTTGGAATAGTCTATATTTCAACGGGATCAGAGGACATTAAGAACAATCCATAGCATGTTTTTCTACTCTTACTGAGAATCATCAAAAATGGGAGGTCATTATGATCGTCCCAGACAACAAATTTCTTATTGGTTTAAGTATTCATGGTTAGTGAGTCTGATCCTTAGCTCAATGTATCTTTGAGTCCATATAGAATACTATCCTCGAAGTCAAGGTATGTTGAGAACTAAATATAATCTTCTCCAAAATAGAATGATGAGTCAAAAGTAGCTTCTTTCGTTGGATAATTGCTTGTATCTAATAAGTAGCTAAATTTAGATCCACTATCATGCTTTCTAAATACTCTTATTTGGAAATTTTCCTCGTTCTCAAGTGACAATGACTGAGATTGTTATTGAGTTACTTCTATTTTTAAGTTTGAAATTTCCTTTTTGAACTATTCATTATATTAGAACTGCTTATATTATTTGAATAAATCTGTCAATGGCAATTCAAATCTATCATTTTGATAATCTCTAATAGCTATGCTTGCAATGTTCTTATCAAAATATCTTTTCAAAATAAAAAAATTAATATTACTGAATTTGAATTTATAAATTAGCCGCACTCTAGAACTAAAACAGTTGGCCTTCATTATACAATAGTAGATAGTAGTCATCACCTAATATATTCAATTAATCATGAAATAAGGCTACTTTTATCATCGCTGTGTTTCTCATACTAGATGGTGTATACCGGATACTTATTGAGGTAATTGCATTCGTAGCACTCCTCATATTTTTTAGGGCTGACTATGCTTGCGTTGAATTGTTTAGTACTACCGTTTAATATCAAACTGCTTTGATATCCAAAAACGATAACAACTAAAGTAATTCATTATAATGATTAAAATTGATTACTTGTGATAATTGCCAATAAAAGCAATATAAATAGTCTCACAAAATTTTAATTAGACTGCTGATCATTGATCAATTATAGAAATTTAGCCATTTTTTAATTAAATTTTATACTTTAAATCTACATGTAAATTTCAATGGTTGGGGTTTTGGGGTTTTGGGGTTTTGGGGTTTTGGGG